CTCAGTGAGGCAGGAGCTCTCTCTTCCTCCTCCCCCACCTCCTCCTGATCACCGAGAGGAAGTAGAGAACGACGAGGAACAGCAGCGCAACCAGCAGCCCGGCAAGGATTGGAAGAAGCAGCGGGGTTGCTGCCACAGCCGTCGCTTGCAAGTTGAGATCATTGGAGGAAGCCAGCTGAAGATACGCATTGCTGCTGCTGCCGCCACCTTCACCTTCCAATAGCGAGTTCAGGAAGGCATCACTGCTGCTAATGCCTTCTCCTTCAAATAATTCGATGAAATCACTGGCACTGCCGCTGCTGCTGCCCACCCCGACGTCATCCACTAAACTCTGAGAGCTCGATATTGAAGTCTCTTTGGCTTCTTGAAACGTTTCGGTGTTGATCCTCTTGGCCTTCCCACCATCCTCGCCCAAGCTTCGAGGGAACCACCGCCACATAAAAGGTGGTGGCGATGCTGGTGGTGGTGAAGCATTGCTACTGGCCTCCTTAGTGTCACCAGTGCCGCCAGCCAGTAACTTCTGAGATGGAAATCCTGTGGCTGCATGGGACTTTAGCACCTGTTCAAATTCAATCTTAGTACGAATATATCTGATTCCTGTCAGCAGAGGCATACCTTGTCAGATGACTCCTCGGCCATTGCTGCTGCAAGTTCTTCACTGTTCTTGTATGGAAGCCTCCTGTGCATTCCCACGCCATTGCCTCGCAAGCTCCGCCAAAAGACTGAAGCTGGTGTCGATGAAACATCAGCTTGCCTCAACAACTTTCGAGATCCTGCTGCCGCATGAGACTTTAGCACCTGTTCAGTGTAGATCTTAGTACGAATACATATCTGATTCCTGTCAACAGAGACATACCTTGTAGGATGACTCCTCGTCCATTGCTGCCATAAGTTCTTGTCCTTCACTATTCTTGTCTGGAGGCCTCCTGTGCTTTCTCATGCTGCTGGTGCCATCGCCTCTCAACCTCTGCCAAACGACTGAGGCTGGTGGTGATGAAACACCGCCTTGTTCTTCCCCATCTTGTTGAGCGCTCAGTGGAGCTACGAAGCGATCCACCCAGCGGAACAGAGAAGGTCCATTCTCGTTGGAGACGAAGATAGGAGGACCTGGCGGTACTTCCAGAAGCATCCGTCGGGAACTGGTAACTGGGACTCGATGCCACCCCAGGAAGTTTTTGAGTTCTTCCCATAATTCCTGGGACGTCACCTCGTCCTCCTCCAAGCCCGCGTTCAAAAGCCTACTCCACATTTCTTCCTTTATCGACTGAAGACTGGTCGGTAGCTTCCAAGTCCACTCTCCAGCTAGCTTCTTAAGTTCCTCCACCTCCATATGCAAATCGGCTCTGGACGGTAGCTGCACCGACGGGAATGTCCAGGTCCGAAAGAAGCTCTGGATATCCTCCCAGCTCAGGTTGTCGTCGTCGTCGTCGATTGCAAGCGTCTTGCCACTGAGAGAAGTATACCGAACTGAATCCTCAGAGCCAGCCATGACCGCCTCTAGCTGCAAGAAAAGGTTGGTGCGGTTCCAGGCAAACCATTTAAGCTCTCGAGTTACCTCTTGCGAATCATGGTTGTCATCCTCGAGTACAGGTAATGGTGGTGGATCGTACTCGGGAACACTTGATGCTGCTGCGTGACTAACTGCCTCGAGTTGCGAGGGTGGTGCTGGCGAGGACGAATCCTCCAGCTCGATTGGAGCAACCGGCTGCAAGAGAAGATTAGCTACATCTGGAGTTACCTCTTGCAAGTCATGCTCGTCATCCTCCTCGAGTACAGGTGCATCATACCCGGGAACACTTGATGCTGGGTCACTGCTGGCGATCACTGCCTCGAGCTGCGAGGGCAGTGCTGGGAAATCCTCCGCTTCCTTGTCCGCTGTTGCTGCAGGAGTCTGCCCGCACGCGAAAAATGTCAAGGAACAAGAAAAAATGACAGAAACGAGCGAGCTGTACACCTCAAGGAGGAGGATCTTCAATCCGCTTGCCTGTGCTGGAGCGCGTCGCAACCAGGAGAACGCCAATGCTAGAGCTTCCATCGCCGCCAATATAATAGGGCAGGGTTACTATGGAAAGTATCGATTTAGAAGATCGTGAGAGACAAGGAATATATGTAAAGAGATTTGCTTGGATCTTGCGAATCTGAGGATCATCGGCGGTACTACTAATCTTAAGAAAACCTCATTTCTTGTTTCGTCCAAGGTAGAGAAGAACCGCAAAAATCACTACGGACAAGATGTATGCCTCAAATTTTTCCAAAAGTGGACGAATGTAAGTTTCGCTTTTCCTTGCCTTTCCATGGATGAGACTTTGGTATACGTCGCCATTTGCACTTAGGACCCACCCAATTTCCATCGTAGATCGATCTTTGAAACGTAGAATCACGACGAGAAGAGAAGAAGGGATTTACGATCGTTACTTCATTCATTTTCGGTTTTATACAAACCATCTCCACCTTTGGAGGAGTTCCCTCGTTTTCCTGATGAAACTACGCCTTATGCTTTGCCCAGGCATTGCTGTAGTTGCCACATTACTTTGGTCACGCTTATCATGTTAATCACTCGGTAAGTTTTCCTTCTTTTTGGAACCATCGAGCTGGCGTATACTTGTCATCGGTTCTGTTCACGGAAGGAAGAGTTCGTCATATGCATATTCACGAAGAAGAACCACAAGTACGAAGTGAGGCGCGGGGTGGCCGGCCTGGGACTGGTGTACAACGAGCTCGTCCACATGTCCCTGTACCCATATCTCACGTACATGTATGTGGTAGCTCTTGGGGCCCCTTCCTCGCGGGGAACTGTTGCGACTGGCACGTATCTGATGCAGAAGAACACCGGGAGGTAAGTGTTAGACCTCTGGAAAATCCCCACGGCGTGGCTATTCGAGCAGCTGCTGGTGGAGTTCCTGGAGAACTTTATCCGCCGTGAGGAGGTTTTGGAACGAGCAGAGAACGCCGCCGCCGCCAACAACGAGGCAGCTTCTGCTGAGGAGGGAGTTCGAGGAGGACTTGATGGTGGCGGACAACGACGAGCTAGGAGCTGGCTCGTCCGTGAGCGAGGACGATTCTCTAGGAAGTATCGAGAGACGGGGATCGCCTACATGCTCGGCCACGGCGACGTGCGAGCTCGGAACTCGTTCTTCCTCAAGGAAGTGCAAGCATTCCGCCCGGCCATGTACTCCAGCTTGAAGAGCGGACAGTGGTAAGTTCTTTGCGGAGGACAACTAGATCGAGGACAGCTCATGCGATGGTGGCGCCGCACGGTGATTGTCCGCAGCCAGACCGCCTGTGAGTAGTCTCGGAGGACAAGCGTTGATATATTCCAGACATGAGAGGAGGCTCTACGTTTGGAATCCTTTTCTCGGGGAGAGTGGGCTGATTACGCCTTGCCCAACAATGCCAATCTTGTAGCTTGGAAATTCAAGCTCTATATAGTGAAGATACAGTTTACAATTTTATGGTTGATCCATACCTTTACTTTGACTGAAAACAAGCTGCATGAAGGTCTCATGACCATTAGTCTCGTGGCCAGGCTTCCCAAGCATGTCATGAAAGTGATATAGTTTCCTGAGCTGCAAGAACGGTAAACTATGCATTTGATTTTGTGATGCAGTAAAGAAAAATGGCACGCGTTCCATATTCACAGTTTACGATTATTTCCAAAAAGAATCAGTCACGGTTTCACCGTGTTTAATGGGTGTTTACCATGGAGCACACCCTCCTGATTTCCCCATTGTGCTTGTTCTTCCACCCAATGTATCCCATCTTCACCATCGAGGCCGCAAACTGCGACAAAAAATCGTGCTGCTTGTGCGCAAAGTTCTTGACGTAGTGACTTGTTCTCGAGTCCTCGTTGAGAACTTGATCCGACGTGAGGACCCCGTTTCTCCTGGCCAAGTTCTTGTAGTAGCTGTTGTCGAACACAAACTCCGAGCCTTTGTCCAGCTCCACACGGTTTGGCGACCCCGGTGCTGGGCACTGCCTCCGGAGATGCGAGAGGTATCTGGGATTGATGGTCGGGTCCGGCTTGCCAGTTTTCGTAAAGTTGTCCAAACGATTGCTGAATGTGGCGCAGCCGGCGGTACCAAGAGTGTGACCACCTGTGGTTTGCAAGGGAGTAGCGTTAATGCCTACTTACAAACTGGAGGGAAAGAGATGGAAGTTGAAATCGATTCGTACCTGAGAGAACGACGAGGTCCTGGACTGACAAGCCGCGCTCCTTGAAGTTTTGAATGAGAGCCGACGCATCGCCAAACGGGGATGGTAAGGTGTTGCCACGTTCCTGGCTGGAAACTCTTCCGTCGTAGCGTCCGGTTGGGACTTGGTAATACTTTCCTCCAAGCTGCAGTGACAACGTCTTAGGACTTGATTCAGCGTTTCTAAAAAGATGCTAAGCTTACCATGACGGTCGAGTCTCTGGCAGCTATGGCCAGAGTGTCGGCACAGGAGACAACTCCAGGACAAGCTGCTTCCAACCTCTGCTTTGCTTCCTCAATCATCTCGAAGCCCCTGGCGGACATGAAGTTTGGAAGGGACAATTTTTCCACTTTAGTTCCGTCGGTGGGAGTTGAGTCGAGAAGAATCGATCCATCACAGCCCTGGAGACCAGCAAAGTTAGAAAACCAGAATTTAAATCTTGTAAAGCTACTCACGTCGACGAAACAGTCGTGGAAGTGCAAGCGAAGAACTCCTGCTGGTATCGTCCTGTCCCAACCGGCGTGCTTGCTTAGAGTGTCCCTTATGATCCTCTCGGCCTGAGGACAAGATCTCGAGTAGCTGTGGTAGCCATGCTTGCGTCCTCCACTCTCACCGTGAGCCAAGACACCCAAGCTCAGTGACAGCAGCAGGAAAACCAAAACGCTCCCTCTCCAAGTTTCCATCCTCGCTCTAAACTTCTTCAATCACTTGGCACTTCTTCTTCCTCCTCGAATTCTCTTGGCAGTGATCGATGATCCGAAGATGAGCGTCGTTCCTTGATGAAATGAGCCACTGATACAAGGCTCTTATAGTCCAAGTTACTCGTAACTTAGTCGTCATAAACCGTGTCTGCTGCCTCTGATGACTGTTTCCAGGCTTAAAAAACCCATTGACAAGGTCCAAATCCAGGGAAGCTTGCGCTCATAGATTTGACGAAGTCCAAGCTCTGCACGAGAAATAGGAAAATCCAGCCAACTAAAGTACGAAAGAAAGGTTCCGAAAGGACGTACTTCTGTAGGCCGCGTTTTCTATTGCATTTCCAAGCTTTGACTTAGTTCTGTTTGTTATGTTTTTGCTTTTGCTTTTTCTTCTTCTTCTTCATGATGTTCTTGCCCTTCTTATTCTTCTTGTTTTTCTTCTTTTTGTCTATGACAGGAGCAGCAACGGACAGCGACGAGCTCGGCCCCGCTGTTCTCTTCATCGATTCCTGGAGTGAGCCATCGCAAAGATTTTGGACCAGAAAACACTTTTAAACGATCCATGTCTGTACCTCCTCAGAGTCCGAAAAAGAAGCAACGTGACGGATCTTCAATCCGGTGGAATGCTTCCCTGGAAACAACACACAAGAAAACGAAGAACATCGTAAGACAATACATATATTTGCTTTAAGCTTACCTGGATTAACAGCGGCTTTAGCATTGAGCACTGCCCTCTCCACGATATCTGGATCCAGCGAGCTGAGACTACCAGGCTCCTTGAGCTTCCTCTCCAGGAACTTAGCCAATGCCGCAGCTTTGTTGGTGGTGAGCGCTCCCCCTGGATGAGCCAGCCTTGAATGTCGTCAAAAACACCTGCGATTTCCCTGTGGATTGCACGCATACCTAGGCTGCGCATTTCCCGATCGATCAGGATCCTGCCGCAGCGGCGCAAATTTGCTGCCGCGCAGCGCCCGCCGCTCTGCCTCCGTGAGCTCCTCCATTTACCCTAAGATTTCGAACTTTAGGGTTCTTAACAAATCAGGGACAGCATATCCGCAAAGCATCTTTTAAAATTTAAAAACCATCCTTGATTCCCGTTGTGGAAGATGGTCCACGCAAAGCACGCCGTAGCACGGTAGTTTTTTAATCCCGTTGGATTCTTACCGCGGTTTAATCACCCACCTAACAGACAGTATATTTCCATTACCACCAACAACACCGTGTCCTATATTCCATTGGTCACGGGCTATGGACCACAGTACGGCCGCGAATCTCTTTACAATCTCGATAACAGAATAAACGATCCTACCGGTATATGCTGTCTCCACTGACGGCAGTGGCAGCCTTCGCTGGAGTTTTCTCGCTTCCTTCCTTTCGCAAAGCCTAGCTAGAGCGCGATAGAAGTGATAGAAGTGATAGGAGAGAGAGAGAGATCGAATGAGAAAGAGAGAGGGGAGAGCGTTTGCGTGAGTGAGAGGGACGAGAAAGAGATGGACAAGAAGAACAGGGATGATGTGTCGTCAGGAATCTTGTGCGCGGGCGTTCAATGCAGATTTTCCGTCGCCGATCGCCGCCGCGGCGGCTAGGCGCTGCCGCCGATGCTGCATTCTAGGAGCTGGCGAGGTTTTGCTGCGATCCGCGGGGAGCATTTGGTTCTAGAGGCGAGCGCGGCCGAAATTTCGTGGCGATGGATCCCGAGGTGTCGTCTGTCGGAGGCAACAGCTTCATCGACCTCAATCCTAAGGTATGGATGGATCTTTGCTGCGATTTCGGGGCTGCCGCGGCGCCGAGAATCCCCAATTTCGATCCGGACTAACCGATGGATGGTTTGTTTCTTGTTCTTGGCAGAGCTACCGGAGGAAATCCCTCAAGGCGGTGCTGCTCTTGGCGTACCAGAGCTTTGGTGTGGTCTATGGAGATTTGAGCACCTCTCCTCTCTATGTGTACCGGAGCACATTTTCGGGAAAGCTCCAGCTCCACGAGGACGACACGGAGGTTTTGGGGGTTCTCTCGTTCATCCTTTACACCCTGACACTCATTCCTTTACTCAAGTATGTTCTCATCGTACTCCGTGCTGATGACAACGGCGAAGGTGGGTGGTGGTGGTGGTGGGTTTTTTTGATTCGTAGCAAGGTTGGAGAGGAAAATCTCGAGAGATAGATAGACTTTTAGGAGAAGTTTTCTAGTTTTTCCGGATCACTCTCACTGGTTTTGGTGTTTTGTCCTTCTGTTGCAGGTGGAACATTCGCGTTATATTCACTGCTGTGCAGGCACGCAAAGTTAAGCCTCTTGCCAAATCAACAGGCGGTTGACGAGGAGCTATCGACTTACAAGCTCCAGAACGTCAGGGAGAGCTATCGTGGGGCAAGGATGAAAGGGCTCCTGGAAAGGCACAAGAGCCTCCGCATTGCTTTGCTGCTAGTGGTTTTGCTGGGGACGTGCATGGTGATTGGTGACGGGGTTTTAACTCCCGCCATCTCGGGTAATAAGCTTTGCTTTTCCTCTTTTTTTTCAATGCTGTCTGTAACTAATGGACGGCTTTCAGTTCTATCTTCTGTTTATGGCATCAAAGTGGCTGTCGATGACCTCAACAAGCGTAAGGCCAACCTTATGCTTTTCTTGTCAGTGAGACTTATGCTGTCCATTTTCTTGTTGGCTCGCAGACGTAGTAGAACTGATCGCCTGCCTCATTTTGGTGGGGCTTTTCGCGCTGCAGCACCATGGCACGCACAAGGTGGCATTTATGTTCGCTCCCATAGTGCTGGCCTGGCTATTCAGCATCGGCGCCATTGGAATTTACAACATCGCTCGCTGGAACCCTCACGTCGTCCGAGCTTTATCCCCTTACTATATGTACAAGTATTTCAAGAGAACCGGATTCGATGGCTGGATATCTATGGGAGGAGTGCTGCTTTGCATCACAGGTTTGCTCAATTATACGATATACAACGCTCGTCCGCGGACTGAAGCACTCTACTTTTGCAGGCACAGAGGCCATGTTTGCAGACTTGGGACACTTTTCTGAGCTGTCTATCCAGGTGAGAGCTGTGATTCCCCGAGCTGAGATCACTGTGTGTATTTGTGTTTGCAGATTGCTTTTGGCTGTGTCGTTTATCCTTGCCTGGTTTGTGCTTATATGGGCCAAGCCGCCTATTTGTCTCGTAATCACAGCGACATTGAGGGCAGCTTCTACAAGTCGATCCCAAGTATGTCATTGTCCCACTGTTGTTATTGAATACTTATGTGTTGCTGTCACAGAGCCTGTTTACTGGCCAGTTGTCGTCATAGCAACACTTGCGTCAGTGGTGGGGAGCCAGGCAGTGATCTCAGCAACCTTCTCAATCATCAAACAGTGCATGTCCTTGGGCTGTTTTCCAAGGGTGAAAGTCGTCCACACATCAAAAGACATATATGGACAGATCTACATTCCCGAGGTTAATTGGATACTGCTCATCCTCTGCCTGGCAGTCACTCTGGGCTTTAGAAGCACAATTTTCATCGGCCACGCTTATGGTACGTTTGTATGAAAACTTCGTGTTTGTGTTGAAGACTTATCCTCGCAAATGTGTCATCATCGCACAGGACTTGCTGTCATCACGGTCATGTTTGTGACGACGTTCCTCATGTCACTGGTGATTGTGATCGTATGGAAGCGGAGCATCATCCTTGCCATCATCTTTTTCATGTTCTTCGGCACGATCGAGCTCATGTACGTCTCATCCGCGATGCTCAAAGTACACGAAGGCGGCTGGGTGCCGCTGGCGTTATCCGTGTTCTTCGTCGCGGTCATGTACACTTGGCACTACGGCACGGCGAAAAAGTATGACTTTGATCTCCAGAACAAGGTCTCTATGAAGTGGCTGCTCACTCTTGGGCCGAGCCTCGGCATCGTCCGTGTCCCTGGGATCGGGCTCATCTACTCGGAGCTCGTCACTGGCGTCCCCGCGATCTTCTCCCACTTCGTCACCAATCTTCCGGCCTTCCACCAGGTGCTCATCTTCGTGTGCATCAAATCGGTCCCAGTTCCCTACGTCCGGCCAGAGGAGAGGTATCTCATCGGCCGCATCGGTCCCAAGGAGTACAGGATGTTCCGGTGCATCGTGCGCTATGGCTACAAGGACGTCCACAAGGACGACAACGATTTCGAGAACCAGCTTATCTTCAACGTTGGCGAGTTCATCCAAACCGAGGCGTCGAGCACTTGGGCCCCGTCGAGCAGCGACCACTCGTCCGTTGACGGGAGGATGACGATGATGGGATTGCCGCTCCAGTCCAGCATCAAGATGGTAACCTCGGGGCTGGAAGACAGTGACAAGCAGTCGATCAGATCTCTGTCCCTGGGCACGCCAGAGATCGAAGCCTTGCAACCAAGGAGGGTGAGGTTCGAGCTGCCGAGGAGCCCGGAGCTGGATCCAGACATCCGGGCGGAGCTGACGGAGCTGTTTGATGCCAAGAACTCGGGGGTGGCGTACATGCTGGGGCACTCGTATGTCAAGGCCAAGCGTTCCTCGTCCTTCATGAAGAAGTTCGTTATCGACGTTTGCTACAACTTTTTGAGAAAGAACTGCCGGGGACCGGCTGTAGCACTCGACATTCCTCACATTTGCCTCATCGAGGTGGGAATGATTTACTACGTCTGAAAAAAAAAAACTTTGAATCTCAATGTAAAACCGATTCAGAGTTTTTTCTTTTCTTTTAAAAAAGGTCTGAAATCAAACTCCCATGTCTGTAACTCTATTGTACTGTTCAGCTGCAAATCTTTGACAGCAATCCCATTGGCAAAGGATGTGGGTACTCAAGACTGAAGACTGGAGGGATTAAGAGTGATAAGTTTTCAATTTGCGTCCGTTGTTTTGTTATCTCATTCTTTCAGTTGAGCCCTCAAAAATATGTATTATTATAGAGTACAGCAGCAGTGTTAATGCTAGGTCCTACTATATGTAGCCCTAGAAAATTGCAAAATATGGTATATGGAGGTAAATCTTACTGGGACACAAATCATGGTCCTTGGCCAACCAGTTATAAAAAGACTGCTTCTGCCAATTGTAATTTAGTTATTTATAAATCAAAGTTTCCTAATAATGTATTATGGGCGTCTGATATAAATAACCATATATTATGTGGAAAATAGAAATAACTTACCTATATTAAATACTCCATGATCTGAAATTGGCAGCAGCACAGTTCTAGTCAGGCTATATTTGAAGTTACAAAGAAATCACGTACGTCAGGTTGTAACAAAGGCTCAGCCAGCTTCAGATGAAATTGTCAATCAATGGCTCCATTTCAAGAGGGATGACAAATGGTGGTCTGACCGTATATCAAATTAGTTACAGTATTTTCTTTGGTTGGCCGCTTAAGATCAGGATCAAAAATAAAATTACTACAAAAATTATGTAGCTATTATTGTATATAGGTCAATTTAAAATTTGAGATAAGCTAGATCTAAACAAACACAAATCTAAGTAATCTTCAGGAACAATCAAAGGTGCCTTCACTAAATATGCATATTCAATTAACCCAAAAACATATATATAGAATTGAGTGGTCAAATATTGCATTGTAGCTCATATCATCCCCTCATATGGAAGGCAATTAAAGTTCTTGGTTAATGGGTGAAAATCTAAAAGAACATCAAGAGGAAGCATCAAATGAATTTGTAAGTGGTGCAACTTGCTTTTATAAAGTGTTTCAATTGTTACATATATATAATTTTTGGAGGATTATAATGCTAAATCTCATAAACTTGTCTAACTTGCTAAAACACTCAATACAAAGAGTTGTTAGACAAACCATATATTTGTAAAATTGGGAAAACAAACCAATATTAGATCATCTACTTTATACTTTATAGATAAGTTGTAGTGCCATTGTTGTCCCACTTGTACATAGCCCAAATGTTAAATAAACTCCTCTTAACCTAGTGGAAGAATGTTTATTAAATTCTAATATGATAATATAGTATTGTGAGTGCATGGAATATGGAAAGGGAATACAGAAATATGCATATCAATTAGCCCAAAAACCCTAGCTTATATACAGGAGTGAGTGGTCCGGATTGAAACCAATCCGACAGCTACTAAAATCCCACTACGCTAATATTAGTATACGGCATCGTAGCCGTACACTTGGCCCTCACATCATCCCCTCCTCTCGGAATAATGGAAGGCCGTCAGGGTTCTCTTGTAGATGGGCCGGGATCTGGAGGAACGTCAGGAGGAGGCATCGGTGGATCTGTAGACGGTATTAACTGCTCCTGATCCCTTTGTATGAAGCGTTTTAACTGCTGCACATGCACAATCTCCGGAGGATCGGCCTGTTGAATGTCATGCCGAACCTCATAAACTTGTGGTCCAACTTGCCGCAACACCCGATACGGTCCTTTCCACTGCGCAAGGAGCCCCTTAGATAAACCACGTACTGTAAGATGGGGAAAACGGACTAACACCAAATCATCCACTTTGTACTCTGCAGGTGGACGATGATGGGAATTGTAATACCGTTGTTGTCCCACTTGTACGCGGCCTAAGTGTTCAACAGACTTTGCTCGGACAAATGGAAGAATGCTTGTCAAATATTGATCCCATGACCTAGCATTAGGAGCTCGTGGCAATCGCGAAGGTAAACCCAACTCTGTTGGTAATATTGGATCATGACCATATAGAAGTTTATATGGTGAAGCACCAACAGAACTCTGCACCCCTGTGACATAGGCATACCGAAGAGACGGCAAATAACCATCCCAATCCGAATGCTGAAAGTTCACATACTTCGCAATCATCCCTTTGAATGTCCGAACGAGCCGTTCCACCAGACCGTCTGATTGTGGATGATAAGCACTCGTAAAAGTATGGCGTATCCCCAACCGAGATGTTAAAACATGAAATACCTCAGTCATAAATGCAGAACCATTATCCGAAAGAATCCGCTCTGGACAAGAATGTTGGAACACCATTCGATTGAGGAGGAAGTATCCAACAGTAGTTGCAGAGGCACTAGCAAGAGCACCAACTTCCACCCAACGAGTCAAGTAGTCAGAAGCAATAATAACATACTCATTGCCAGCAGTCGATCGTGGAAAAGGTCCCATAAGATCAAATGCCACCAACTCAAATGGACGAGAAACTACAATTGACTCCAACCGTCCTTCCGCAGCACAAGGGGGAGTATTACGAGCTTGGCACCAAACACAGCTACGCACATACCGGATAATATCACATCGCATCTCTGGCCAATAGAAAGATCTGCGCAGCTTCTCGGTGACACGACGGTGTCCCATATGACCACCTAGAACAAGAGAATTATGGTAGGCATGGAGAAACCGCGGAATAAACAGCGAAGGCACCACCAGCCGTAAATGACCATTAGGATCCGTCCCCACAAAATAAAGAAGGCCATCTTCAAGGCGATATTGAGAATGTAAATGCTAGAAAGGCAAATCATCAGCAAGTGATGCAGGATTCTCAAACCCATCTCGAAGCCTTCGAATCCACGGCTCAATCTTTTGAGCCTCGCAAACCTCATCAAGAGAAGGTAGATCTTGCTCTGCGCCCTGTGGACACTGAACATCAAGGACAGTAACCGCCGACAGCACAGAATCCTCATCTAGAAAATCCACAAATGCTGGAATAATAGGTTCGTCAGAAACATGAGAAGTGAGTGGAGAAGGAAGAGGAGCTCGAGAAAGGGCATCAGCATCAGCCATAGAACTCCCTGGGCGATGAACAACATCGAAATCATATATCTGAAGCTTCAAAACCCATTGAGCTGTACGACCAACCAGGTTCTTCCGCTTCAATAATGAAGTAACAGCAGCATGGTCACCTTCAAGTAACGTCCGAGAACCATGTAGATATGCATGAAGTTTCTCGAACCAGACTGCTGCTAAACACTCCTTCTCTGTCGTGGAGTAGTTCATCTCCGCTGGTTGTAATGTACGGCTTATGTATGCAATGGGATGGCGTTGACTAGGCACACTCGAGTTCTCTTGCATCAACACACCTCCAAGACCAATGTCAGAAGCATCCACGCACAAAATAAAAGGCCGAGTGTAGTCAGGATATGCCAAAACCGGAGGAGTCGTCAATAGCTCTTTGAGATTCATGAACGCCCACTCACAATCCGGAGACCAGATGAAAGATGACGTTGATGACTTCAGCAACGCTTGCAATGGTGTAGTGCGATCGGAAAGATGATCCACAAAACGACCGAGATACTGCACCTTACCCAAAAAGCGCTGCACATCATTCACACACTTCGGAGTAGGGAACTTTAGAACGGCTACAAGTTTGTCAGGATCAACTTGCAAACCCTCACGAGAAATACGGTACCCAAGATAAGTTGTGTCCTTGGACCCAAACACGCACTTTGACCGCTTCAGCTTTAAACCAACGTCGCGCAGCCGATCCAACACTTTACAAACATCACGAACATGCTCCTCCCACGTCCCCTCCGAGTGGATCAAGACATCATCAATGAAGTCAGCCGTCACCTTCGGCATATCGCAAAGAACCTCGTCCATCATCCGCTGAAAAGTTGCTGGAGCATTGTTCAAACTAAACGGCATCACCAAGAACTCGTACAGACCAAATGGTGTACAAAAAGCAGTCTTAGGAATATCTTCTTTGGCCATCGGTACTTGTCAATACCCAGAAGCAAGATCTAGCTTGGTGAACCAACGACTTCGCCCCAGACGATCCAAGAGATCAGTAGTGTGAGGAAGAGGGTATACGTCTGGGATCGTCACTTCATTTAACGGACGATAGTCAATGCAGAAACAAATACTACCATCAGGTTTCGTCACAAGATGAGGTTCACATGCCCAAGGACTTCGCGACTTCCGAATAACACCCTTCTCCAACATCTCCTTGACGTTTGCACGTAAAATCTTGATCTCCTTGGGTGACCGACGACGAATAGGAACCTTGATTGGATGAGCATCCCCAGTTGGAATGGGATGACGTGTGGCAATCTTGGCCCCAGACGATAGGTCAAATTCAAAGAGATCAGAATACTCCTTCATGAGCCGGTCAACTGCTGCAACACAAAGATCATCGGAGGGATCGGGAAAGGGAAGAGCAGAACAAGATGGAAACATAAGAGGAAACAGTGGGGGAACAAAAGTAATGGAAGCAGAGGTAGAAGTAGAGGGACGAAGAGGTACGGAAGTGAGAGGAATGGATAAAACATAAGGAAGTATGAGACAAGGGGGAGAAGCCTCAAAATCACACTTGGCATGATTGCGCTGCAACCAATCCATACCAAGAATGAGGTCAAAAGCTTGACTCGGCACCACCCGCAACGACTGCAACTCAAGCTCGAGATCGCCCACACGCACAACCAGGTCCGCCTCATCTTGTGCACATGCATGTGTACGGCCGTTGCCATAAAGAATGAAAACTGGATCCGCCGCACGACGCAAGTGTAGACGACAACATGTGGCAACAGGTCGAGCAATAGAAGATAAACTCGAACCTGTATCAACCAACACGGAGAGAAGAATAGGAGACCTCTTGTTATAAAAACGAGCTTGGAAAGTAAACACTGGATGAACCGGTGCCGAGTGAACCCCTTGATGATACTCCCGAAAGAAAGATGGAGGGGTCACTAACTTATTCGCGCAAGGTCCCTCCATTACTCGCGCGACTCCTCGTTTCCCGAATGCACCTCGGTATCCAAACCTTCCACCGCAGCAACACCAATGGGACGTTGCTGACGCCAAGGTCTCCACCC